AATCGGATGAAATCGGTACAGTGCGATGCACGTGTTGAAAGACCCAAGTGGGTGTACCTAAGCTGAAAGAACATAGGCCAAAATGCACTCCCATTGTTTCAGGATGTCGGAGCGCGGCGCTGGGATATAGTTCTAGCTGTGCCGGTTTGCAGAACCTGCCGGTCAAGTTTTGGGCTGTGGAACATGTGTTGTTGAGAACCTCAATGTTTTGCAGAGAGCTGCTAAAAATGGCACGTCGTAACTCCAGCGTAATTTCCCGTAACTCCGGCATAACTGTTTGGACTCAGTCTTCTGAAGATTTTGAGAAGAGTTTTTTCACTGGAACCATGAGTTCTGCTACTTTATGGGGGCTGTCCTGAGGCAAGCAAAAAAAATACATATATAATATAGTAATAACAATAATTCTGGAGTAGATAGAATCTACTTTCGGAGGGGGTGTTTTCCTTTTGAAAAACTCTGAGACTCTGAGTTTTTGACCTCCCTTTCATTTTATGAAGGTTGACCCTACAGATAGAATATAGCGATAAGATTCTTATCAACTCCTCCCATTCCGGTATTTGCTCCTTTGTTATTTTCATATTCCTTCCTATGTGTATTATCTGAGCTTTCCCGTCCTTTTTTTCTTTTCTTTAGAACGAACAGAAAATAGAACGAACAGAGAAGGAAACGGACAACAAAGGAAAAGGAAGAGAAGCCCCTACAACCATATTCTATCTATGGGTTTGGAAGGGCCGGTTTTGAGGAGTGAATTGTTTTGGAAAAATCGTCCATTCTATCTACTCCAAGATGGTTATATATATATATATAAATCATACGAATCCTGGTTAGAGACACGGTTGCAGAGAGGCTCCTTGCCACATACTCGCTGGTTTCTTGTTGGAAGCCCTTGCTTGGGCACAAGTTTGCTTATATTTTGCGATGGGTCTGCTCTTAGGCCGTTCGGAAGATGGGCGGGGGCAATGGGAACGGGAAGGCTCCACCAGTGTTGGGTTGTGGAATGAGTGTGTTCGCAAAGGCAGTTTGCCTGTGTATGATCCAACCTTTTATCGTCTCTGTTTTTCGTGATCTTGGATCCGGATGTTTTTCAGGGGCCCGGCGCTTGTTTTTCGGAATCCGGCGGAAAATTTTGCCGGATTGAGGTCCGGCACTTTTGTCCGCCCAAAGGAGGATTCCAAGTTCATGTGAGTGTTTGACGCCGTTCATGTCTGAACTCTGCGCTTGGTCCGGGATCGCGATGACGGTGCCGTGGCACAAGCGTCCCTCGGAATGCCTGTGTACCCTGCGCGGGGGAAAGGCTTCTCGAAGGACGCCTTTTGGTGGCACCTATGGTCGAAATCCCCGCGTCGCGGCGACAAGACCGCCCTCGCGGTTGCAGGCTGCTTGGCTGAAAAAAAACGCACTATCAAGGGCGAAATGAAATTCGTGAATGGCTTCGCGTTAGCGCAACGTGTCCTGCAATGACTTGTACTCCACAGAGGGCGAGGATGATTTGGACTGGCGCATTCCGCAACTGGAGGCATGGGGCTTTAAAGGCGAAACTGGCACATACATGCAACCGAAGGCTAACTTTCTATCAATGTCATTGTGTTTCTGTTCTGCTGGATCTTCTTTCAACGCTCGCTTTCCCGCGCAGGCTTGGTGCGATGAAAAGGCGGTTGAGCTGTCGATCATCGACATCATCCCCGAGGCTGACATCCGCAACGCGAAGACGCTCCTAATTCGCGCATGGCGCTCCCGTCCATTTGATGAGGGCTCAAAAAATTGCAAGCGCGATGCTCAGTCTAGCACGATCATCCTACTGTATTTATATGTAGCGTTACGGCTTTGTGTGATCAGTCCATGTTTCTCTATGACGGCTTTCTCTTGGCTTTGACTTTGATGTTTTCTGATTGCTTTTCGCTTTCATTTTTTAGGACGGCCTGTTGGCTACAGAATGCCTTCTGCTTCTCTTCCCTCTTTTTGGGACGTTCACCTGGCTACAGGCATTCTATTCTTGCCACCGCTTTTCCATTCTTTATCAACCTTTGTCAATGCACCCATTCTCTTTGCGAAGTGCGTTTTGCAAGTTGCGCCCTGTTTCTTTCCATTTCCGGGGCAGTTTTCTGAATTTGCTCATTGATCCCTCTCTTGGGAAGTGATAAGCACAATCCCCAGTATGAATCCACCCAATGAATGACTTGAGAGAACCCTGATGCAAACTACTATGACTATTCTTCGTTTGCTCAAAGCGTTGGCTCGTGAGTTGATCAGCCTCAGCAGGTTGCATACTTTCGATTCGGTATGACCGTAGATCACCTCGTTTTCCCTTGACCGTAGAGTGTTGTGAGTGAAATTCATTTGTAACATGCCTCAGGGCCACTCGGAAGCGAACCAGTATTCGTTTTTTGACCGCAACTACCCTCAGTAGAGACATGTTGTACGCAATGGTTATATGATGTACAGACTCCATACATCATGTAGGACCCTAGACCCTAGAACTGATCTTCGCTACTGCCTTCTCCGAAATGGACATGCACACAAAAGCAATATGGTCAACGCGTTCGTTTGTCGTGACGCGTTTTGTATTGAGAAGTTAGATTTGATGTGGGTGGTCAACATCTAGTGTTTGAAGGTGATGGTTGTTCCTTTCTGCCTGCCCAACTCAACCAACTGGCCATGACCAAGGGTGCGTGACATGATCAACGGCTCCTTGGGCATTGTGTTCTCCGTGGAGCATGTGTCATAAACTGCCCTGGATGGGTGGGATGTGGTTGTGGATTCAACGATAGCATCCAAACCTTTGTAGGTTTTCAAGGCAAATTCTCATTAAGTTATCGTAAGTCTTAATTTGATCATGAAACATGATTGTTTTTGTTGAACCAACAGCTAAATCGATGTGTTTTCACGTCATTGAGAGTTCTTCGCTGGACTCGTTTTTCATCCATGAGATTCCATGGATGTCCGATGAACGGCCGATGAACGTGTGGGGCACTGGGGCACCTCTTGGATCGACAATCCTCACGTTGATACCCTGACAGTCTTGATATCAAATGACATCCGCTGCTTGGGAACCGAGACCATAGAGAAACCATTTGCATTCATTTACTGGGGAAATGGACGGACATGGGACCCCTTCGCACCCAGGCTGCGCACACAAGATGGAGAACATCCTGAACCACCTGACCTAGAACGACCTAGACATCCTTCCACCAATCCTGCCATGTCCAGGATTTACAGTGAAATAAATGATGATGATGATGATGGTGATGATGACGGTGATTGCAATTGCTCTTCGCAGTTTGCTCCACCCGCATGCTTGGGAAAGCACCCTCTCATGTCCGCCTCTCGTGACAATAAGAGCTCGACTGCCTGAGGCATCACGAAGAGGTGTGGGAAGCCAATTGTAAATGCGCCTCGGCGGATCCGCAAGAGATCACACGGTGGATGGACATCCCCAGATTCCCATTTGTTTGAAGAGGAGTTCGTAGTCTTTGCAGGAATCAGTTTTTAACAAATTTTTGGATAGGGTACCAGTGCACAATTGCCAGCTTCGGGCAAGCCCTCACAGGCGGCGTATTGACCTTGTCATACCTTGTCCGATCTTGGTCAGTCGATGAGCTGCCTTGTATATAATGTAACCTGTGAAAATAAGAAACAAAGTCAAGGGTTTGGGAGGAAGGCAGGTGGGAAGGCGAAGGCCTTAGTAGGCATCTCGGTGAGTCCAAATTCGCCCAGGATCCCTTCTTCGCCACGTAAAGACCGAGCCCTTCGATCACTCTACCAGCTGATCGGGACACGGTGCACCTGCGGCGTATCAGGAGCCGAACCGGTCCTTTGGAGCGAGTTGTTTTGGACAAAATCCATGTTCACTTGAATCACTTGTCACTTCTATTTGTATAGTCATTAATTAACAACAATACCGGGTAGTGTTTAGGGACTGAGCATGCAAATGTCCGTGCCTTGCTTCTGTAACTGTCGATGCGTTCTTCGTGATGAAAGCTAGTTTCCAGTCCTCCGGAGTCGTACGCCAAAAAATGACACCCTTGTATGTGGGGCACAGACGAGATCCTCTTACTCAACCTTGCCCAATCAGTTAGTTAGTGTTTTATGTCATGTATGTTCATGTTATTTCCACTGATTCTAGAGCATCAGAGCTAATTAAATGCTGACCCAAAAATGACAACCGTTGCTTAAATGACAACCATTGCTTAAAAGTGACAACCGTTGCTTAAAAATGACTTGCTGGTCTGCAGATACACCGCAGGCCACATGAACTGTGTGGCGATTCCCAAAGAGGAATCCCTGTGGATGACCGTGCACTGCGGTCTAAAAAGGTAAGGAGCAGATTCCTGAGCTTGTTTGTTTTTTGTTGGTGTGCGTGTTTCTTCTACCAGCAGACCTTGTCCCCGCAACTGGTCGGGACTATGCCGAAAGCTTGGCACCCAGCTTATCATGCATGACGAGCTTCATGGTTTCGCCAAGAGCATTCAAAAGAAGTGTGCATGTAGCCACACATTTGGAGCAGGAAGGTATAAGATCTAGAGATATTATGAGATATCATACCCTCAACTACTGAGGGTCTAGGATTGGTGTACCTAGGGGTGCTGAGAGCAAAAGGTCTATCATCATCTATCATGAGATATCTAGAGACGCTCATGAGGTCAACCACGAACATGGGAAGGTGTTGTTTCCACATGTTGGATCAAAGGATTCCGCTGATGGGTTGATCCTGGGCCACTGCATGGACCGCTCGCAGCTCAGGCCCAAGCTTACTAAAGTAAGTGAGGTTTTGGTGCATATTCATGAACGGCCTGGACCCGTGACGCTAACCCTGAGGGTCAAGGGAATGTCAAAATAGTGATGCCCAAATCTACAAAAGAAGTGACTTCGCTTCAAAATGCTTTGACATGAAAAACGTTCCTAAAGATCCATCTCGTTTCCTTGGCAGCCACAGCCAGGATCAACAAATCCGACGCCACAAGTCTATTGCTGCCTTTCCATGAGTTTCCAACAACCTCAGCATCACCTCGCATTTCTCTTCAATCCGATGCTGTTGTGTGCGGAAGTGTAGCTGAGATCGCCATGTCCGGGCGCCCGTGGAAAAGCAAGAAAGATCGGTTGGGCCACACCTGTTTTGGCGTGTTGTGGAACTGAAATCACACTGTAAGAACGAAACATAACGAAACTTAATACTTCAGCTCCTTGCTAGTGGTATGTAGGTTCGCTGTGGTGTCATTGATCGGCTGGACACTGGCAAGGAGGGTCGCTTCCGATCAAAAGGCCCTCAGACTGATGAAAGAAAGATTGCAACACACTGTCATAGGCGACTGGTTTTGTTGCAGAGGTTGTCCTTTTTCCTGGCCAAAAGCAGATCCATGGCTGTCTTAAGAAAGGGCATAATGCCCTCCGTCCAATGCAAAACCCACTGAGACCCAATAGAGACTCCGGTGCAAGAGCAAGTGACATTCCGAACGTGGCCTTTAGCTATCATACCCGGCGCACGACGCGCGATTCTCCATTCTTGCAGCCACGAGCACCTGGACCATGCAGAGCTCGCTTTGCACCACCTTCATCACTTCCGGAACCTGAAGTTGTGCCCCGAGGAGGGCTGTCACAGGCCCGACACACTCTTCCTATAGAAGATATATCGAAGTGACAGGGGAGTTGCATAGATGACAAACTTCCCAATATGTCGTTGCACTTCGGTTGAGCCTTCCGGCCACCAGAAGTTGCACTTGCCTTCAGAGGAAGCCAAGGAGTACCCCCCAGCTCCTCCCCAGCAGGAGGCCGTCGTCCTTGGCGCCACCATCGCTTCAGGTTGCGACCGCTCCACGGCACACTAGAGTGCACTTTGGCGAGCTGCCTGCCGGCTTTGTGTGAAGCTTAGAGACGGATTGATCATCTAAGTGTAGGTCAATAGCCGGAACCCTCAAACCATGCTTGGTGAACAGGTGACACTAGACTTTAGGCTTCTTTCGTTGTGTGAACCTGAGCTGTGGCGTAGTTTGCATGGCATCCAAGCTTGCCCACACTTGAAATAGAGGAGAGTGAATCGTTGTGGAATGACTCTTGATACCTTAGGACCAAATGATTTTAAATGGACAAGGTCATGACATATATATATAACTACTGTATATATTTATATACAACCTTATCAGGTACCGCTTTTTGGTCCACAGGTCTTCGATCGGTCATCAACCATATCACGTGCAATCGCTTGGTTGCCCAGTGGCAATTTTCTGAAGAATCATCCCGGTGAGAACAACCTATGCCTTTATGACCTGAGGGCATCATGTTTATGTTCTTTCTTCGCCCATCTGATATGCTTCAAGAGATCCCAAAAGGCGGTAATTCGGTGGTGATGTCTATGTGTCCTTGACAGTAGGTCACCCAAGATAGCACTAACTGAAACAACTAACTAACAACCACTCAAATCTTTGAAGACTATGGTCTGGCAAATGAGTCGATTCGATCACTAAGATAGGTCTGATGGCACTATATGGCACTAACCCATGGAGTCATCGAGGTCTTGGTCGCTGGATAGGGAGCACTTCCCCCCCCTCTTGGGCGATGTTCCACCCTCTTCTCCGCTCGGAACGTGCACTGCTTCGCTCGTGTAGCGTTCCGGTTCCGGGCGAGCCCGTTCCGCATCTCCAGGGTGCTGCGTGAATGGCCCTTGGTGCTGGTGTCATGGATGGCTCCGAACTCAGTGGAGAGTATGTAGAGTGATCCTCAAATACGTTTGAAAACGCTGACAAACACATACAAACACGAGATGTGTCGCTTTCACGGTGGATTCCGTTTGATGCTGTGTCCACAGATGTTTATTTCTGCCAGGATTGGCCAAAAGACCAAACGACCAAGCCTCCGAACATTGGGTGATGACCCCGTAAGACCAGGCGATGTCCATGGCACACAACATGCGGCCGTTGGCACAATGGAAGGCTGGTTTTGTCACCCACAAAACACAACTACAAAAATCCTGGGAGTGAGGTCAGGTAAGGGATGGATGTTCATGAGGGTTACTGTATCTCACACACAGTGGGTTTTGCATTGGGTCTTCACTGATTTGTTCAGCTTCCTCACGCTTCATCACAAGCTGTGTTTCACTGTTTCACTTCTGGAGAAGATGCACTGAAAGAACGAAACAAAGACATCAAGAAAGAAATACAGAAAGTTGGTCACCAAACGTTGATAGCGGAGTACAGTAGGGTTTTCTTGACTCAGTCACCGCGCCATCCAGTCACCAGTCTTCGGGAATATGACTTGATTCAGGGAAATGGGCAGTAGATTGGGCATGCTTGAACTGGACTCGCTGCATTGATCACCGAGATGTATTGGACTTTGCCTTGATTTGTTTGGTCACGTCTTGCTGAAAAAGGAAGCCCAAAGGGCCCGGGGTTTGCATTCATTGAGCAGATGTGAAAAGCGTTCTTTTGGTCTCCGAGTAATCGTACATTCCGCCCAACAAGGTGCTGTCTTCTTGGACGGTCCACTTTATTCCATGTGCTGGGACGGTCCACATGGAAGATGAAAATGGAAGGTTCTCAGCAAAACTAAATCTCATGTCTTTTCGAGCTTCGGCCCCGCTTTAAACGCAGGGTGTCCAGCTCCTGGGCCTCCTGCTCCCCGTGTTCCCCTGCTCGAGGCAGGGCGACCACATTTGGGCAGCCACCTGCAGACCCTTCAGTGTACTGGGAGTCATTCAACTTGGATCAGGAAGCAAGTTGCTTTGTTGAAGTAGTAGAATGAGCAGACCTGCTAGACCCATGGGTGAATCTCATTTCTTCCTTGACGAAACCATTTGTCACATGATGAAGCAGCCAACAAATGTTGAGGTGCCACGGAAGAAGTTGTCTAATCAACCTGGCCGTAGCGGCCTAGCTAGAAAACATAAATTGAGCTTTGAGGGTCAAAACCCACTAGACAAGACACCAAAACTTGGTGAGAATTGTCATTTCGACGGGGTTCACTGACCATGCTTGGTTGACCCTAGAACCTTGGGCCATGGCCAATCTCAGTGTTGAGGGTTCATCTAAGGGGATGGGCATGGAGGACATCTATCAGACCATATCAGACCAGACAATTCCACGCTTGTAGTAGACTTGTAGGGTTGCTTACCCAAGACTTCAATAGCCCCTTTTGGAATGACAGCAAGGGCAAAGTTGTATCCTCCAACCCGGTCCTCCAACCCAGTTATGTATATATATAATTAGAAGCATCCCGGTGGTTCGAAGCATCCCGACATTGATCCGGTCCCAGGTTGCCTTCCTGGCAACCTGGACCATTGGGATGTCAGATCCACATCGAACCGAGTCTTTCACACTGTGTGTTTTTCGGATGCCCAGAGATGGTTTTGTCCGTCCAGGGAAGCCATGGGGATATGGATGACCCACATCGTTTGGCTTTTGTAGCCAACTGTCCGCCATGTTTGCTGCCTAACGCGCCAGGTTTGGAAACCTGCCTGGGTGCCCAGAATTGAGGCATATAAGGGCCTTCAGAATACATATTGTGCATACGTGAATCATACATGTACAAATGCACAAAAAAGAAACTACACACGTTGTAGAGAAAGTGCTAGGTTCTCATGGACCCAACATGGTCGTCCTTGCACCAGCTGCAAGAGCGACAAAGGACAGCAAGACACTGAAATGCAGAAGGCCACCAGCTCATTCCCTCCACAAGCCAAAGTGACTTTGTATTCTTTGGCGTGCACGTCCTGGTGTAATGGTGGGAAGTGCGTCTTTAGTGGATCATAGCCCCCGAATCACACCTTGATTCATACCTTTGAATCATACCACCGAATCACACCCTTCAAGAATTGTGCTAGAACACGGTTTCATGGCGAATCATACCCTCGAATCATACTGCCTATTCAAACTTCCCAGCTCGACTGCGTCAAAAAAGAATAAACCCAAGTGTGTATTTAACCTCACCTGGATTGATTTGAAGACAAGATCCGGTGGCGCAAAGGGATGTTTTACGAAAGATAAGAGCAATGTAGATCCTAGGTCATCGATGGGTATTGGGTCTTCAGCCCCAAAAATGTGTTTTTTTGCAACCAGGGGTTCAACGTACGCCTGGTGTTTTTTGGATGCAAAAGGTTGTGAGAGCTTTCTTGCTGGTGCAATTGAACAATCATTCAAGCACCACCTGGAAAAGAGCTATATCCTTGTGATCATTATGCAGGTGACGTGGCTTTTCGAGTGAAAAGCACATACTGTCACTGAGACACTGAGAGACATGGGTGTGTCTTGTAATGTTCCTGCTGCATACCCCCCCAAAAAAAAGCGTGTGGGCCATGAAAGTTTACAAAAGCTCCCCCGGAAGATGGCATTCTCAAGCTTTATCAGAAACTTTATGGTGCGTTCCACAACAAACTTGGCTTGTTCCACTTGTGCTTTGACACTAAAAGAAGCCTTCTGAATCTTCTTGGCTCAGGTTGGCGATGTTGTGCCACATCATGTGAGGAATCCCAGGGATGCGCAAGCGGCTGATCCGCCTCTAAGCGCCAGGGCGTGCCGGCCTTGTTCTGGTCGATGTTCCAAAAGAGGGGGGAAGTCCCGCGCAACATCGCGCAGCAACAGAATTTGCACACAGGTCTTCTGTGGTTCGTAAGACACCCAAGGCCTAGGACTCTAAGACCAAGCTTCTGAGCCAGCTAGGTTGGCACATTACTATATATAGACCATTTTCTTGGCGAATTTGGTGGTGGACGGTGAAGCTATGAGGTTGGCACTCCTTCATGAAGACACTCCTACAAAAATGATCCATTCGACTGTTGGACCTGTTTGGTCTGGAGCGATGGAGATGCCATTTGCGGATGCACAGTCAGTGAGCCAAGCGGGACGGATATGCCACGAGAGACGCAAGTGCATGGCTCAAGCTAGGCCGAGCCCACCCAATGAACAGTTTGGCTCAGTTGGGGTTTATATAATAGGGAGACACCAAACATCATCCAAACAATGGGTTTGGTCTATGTTCCTTCTTCCAGGGGGTCGAACTGGGAGGTCTCCCTAGTTCAAGACAGACTCAGTTGTGTTCAGCAGTGGATGCTCTGAAAAGAACCTCTTGGACTTTTAATTTTAGATCCCCCACACACAGACAGTCTACTTAACTCATACACCTTCAAGTCAATCACATTTGGATCATTTGGAGAGTCTCTCTCATGTGCTGACCTCAGAAAGATGCTAGGGGCTAGGGAGAATTGGCAAGATGTTTTTGCTCGGCCGAGGTTCGCCATCTTTCGCTTGCAGGCCGCCCTTGGGTCTCCTAGTCGTACTCAATCTGAGAGTTTGGGGAGGGTAGCCTTATCCCGAAAGGAACATGCAGGGACGTGATTTTTGGTTGGACGTTTAGATCATCAGAGTTGCATCCTCAATAGCTGTCTCCGAAACGGAACATGTGCATTATTGACAAAAGATTGCTCAGTGCGAGATAGTGCATCGACATGCTTTAAGACTTGAGCAATATGATGTTTTACCCTCGTGCCACTTGAAACTGTCCCAAAGCTTGCATATAGGGAGCATTCCGGATGGGCCGTGCAGTTTGTCTCCACTGACAGTTCTATTGTCTTCAGGTTCTTGGACTAAAAGCCAGCCGAGAATGGGAAATCGTTCGTTACCCTCCAACAAGCCACCCAACTTGTAAGCACTGTAGATTCATATAGATTCATGATGCATGATTAATACATATATATATATACATAGATAGATAGCAACTCCACAATCCCCATGGTCGCCCATATGATGATGAATTGTTTGGGTGTCGTTACGGTGTCGTTTAAAGAAAGCCAGGTCCGACGTGCTGGCCTCACGACGTTGGAGCTGAAAGAATGTGTCTTGGACAACGACGGTAGGTCCAAAGGGCAGAAGCGGCGGTAGAAGAAGTGTTTTTCACCCCTCTGGTAGACGAACCAGCTTTACCCCAGAAAGAATGTGTTCCATTTCGGAAGGCCATGCTTGGGATCCAGGGCAATTTGGCATAAAGTCACATAGGCAGTCATTCCCCAGAGACAAATCAATTGCCAAGACGTTCGGGGTACCTTTGTTCCCCCTTCAATCCCCTTCATTAAACAACCACCCCTTAACTCTACCCTCCTTCCAAACAAAGACGTGCAAAAACCCTCTTCTTGCGCATGGCATGGTCTTCCCTTTGTGACCATGCCATCCAAGAGAAACAATCACCACACCATGTTTCTTGGACAGACTCTCAACACTCACCGGGTCATGACCATGTTTCTCCCTTCCAATCGACCATTGGCTCCACGACCCTTCCATGACCGTTGCCTGGGTCACGGATGGGGCCCGACCGGTCGGGCCGACCGTGGCGACCAGGTCTCCCCTGGCTCACAGCCGGCTTGGTCCATCTCCGTTCGGTGTGTCCGCGCGGGAGGCGCTGCGACTGAGCGCGGACCCTTCCAGGGGGGTGGAGCGCTTTCACGCGGCAGAGAGACACGACTACTTTGGGGGCAATGGCATGAAGTGGTCTTTAGTGGTTTGCTTTTACCACTTTGGCACCAGATATTGCACCTACTGATATTTGGTTCTTGTAGGGATGCTGTGCATTTGCCCTTGCTGATCTAGAGAAGATTGACTTGAGAGGCCGCGATGCTTAGCAGTGTAAGTCATGGAAAGTGAGGTTCGGAACTGCCCGAGATGGCCCCCTCGACAGATGATAAGCCATAGTAAAGCAATGATGAGTATGATGAGATCGTGGATTGGAAGGTGATCTTCATGGATAAGATAAGGGGTTTTGCCCTGTGTTTGCCCTCCTTCTTCATGCTTCAACATACTCGTGGCCTGACAATGAAGAGAATCGCCCCTGCCATTACTTTTTAGGTGTGGTCAAAGCAATTCTTACAGCAGTATCGGTAGTTGCTTTTGCCGCGGAGGCCAAGTCTACAACTCTCAGCACTTGCAGCTCTTGCTGTTCATGCGGCAGGTGAGTCCAGCTCCAATCATAACAATCGTGCTGTGTTTGTGTTAACTTCGGCCTTTTTTAAATTGTTTGATTGGGATGCTTGAGTCTGAAATGATCCCGGGGTTTCGCATGAGACAGTTTCGCTGGGTCAAGGCATGGAAGAAATGCCGTGCTCAAGAAGAGAAAGTCAAATTATCCCCGATCTCAGGAAAATGCACGCAGGGATGGACCTATGTGAAATGCATGCATGTTTGGTCCGGCTCCAAGTAGTATGTTTCACAAGTTCACAAGGTAATGAACGAACAGTACAACTTATGTAATAAACGAACAGTACAACTTGAACTGTGGACTTTAAGGTCTTGAATTGAGGAGCCCGTCTAAAAAGGAATTAGCAGACGACACGTGTATGGGCAAAAGAACTCATGATCAGAACAGCAAGCCGAGGCAAACTAAGTTCCCCTAAACCACCTTGCAGCCGAGCTGCGCCGACGTTGATGAGCATTGTTCACAGATCCATTGGGACTACTGTAAGCATGCGCAAAGGGAAATGAAATTACATTTGTACTGGGGATGGATGACTTGGGACTTGTAGTGTCCAATGAGACAAGTAGTTAGTTGCCAGGACGGTTCTTCCAAGTCATCATGGAACAATGATAAAGAAACTACGTAGCATTGCATGAGATCACCAATGCTGAGTTGGCCACCAAAGTGTACTGTATATGCAGGAGATACTGCAGGAGATGTGTGCGACAACTTTGAAGCGCGTGAGTAGGTCTGTTCTTCAGCAGCTTGCTTTGGTTGGAAGATGTGGTCTTTGCTCATTTGTTTGTGTGTTTTGCGCTTGTTGGTCCCACTGCTACTGAATATGGCGTGATGTACCGAAGAGCTTCATTCGAGCGCTAGTTTCATGCAGGAACTACCATGCAAAATTTCTGATAACTTGCGCACATCGACAAGCCAAAATTGGTGCAAAATTGAGAGTCAGGGATATTCCACGCCCCGAAGCAAGCAGCAATAGACGAAGAACACCAAGAACTCCATCAGCAGGGCCTCAAGTCGAACCAGGTCTGCAGAGATCCGATCAAACGGGGCCTCAGGAGAAGGCTTGTTGGATCTTGTTGGTGTGAGAAAGGGAAGTTTCATGAAGTTTCATGTTCCTGCCGGTGTTTGCTTTCCCAATTGCCCTGGTCCGTCTTGTTCGGGTGATTTCTCATGCATCCTGGGTTTGCGCCACCGATTCCCGGTTGCGACCTTGGGCAAGCCAAGTTTGCTACACGCGATGCGCGTAGAGGCACGCCTCCAAATGTTGAGAAGAACCATTCTGTTTTGCTTATACCACGTGGGATGTTTGTGGACATGTAGGTTCTAGGTACACCCCACGAGTGGCACAACATCCCGGTAATAATGACGGCCCAACCGGGGCCCTTCAACAGATTGACAGATTGCCTGCTCAATTTCGCCCATCCCATGGCTGGAACGCCTCGGATCCCCGTGTTTTTTTGCATTGCTCGCGGCGAGCCTTGCAAGATGGTGTAAGATACCATGGGAATCTAATGGAATATAATATATATATATATACATCAATGTATAATACATTGTATAATCTCTGTAAAAATATAGCACTACAGTATATGGCCGATTGCCTGATTGACTCCTCTCGGTTTCAGCCAGGCCGATGTGAAGCGGATCGGGCCTTGCGCAGGCCGATGCGGAAGCTGATTCGGGAATAGGCGATGGCAGGTGCCAAACGAAGCCCATCATGAACAACGATTCCGGATATACTGTGTGCGACTGTGTGGCAACCCCCGTGAAAAGTTCCTCATGATTCTGGGGTATGGGGACGATGGGGACGGGGGAGTGCCCAGAAGGCATTTTATTTGGTTTGGACATTCATGATCATATATAATCATAATCATCACATACAGATCTATGATCATTGAATGTTCATCACCTGGATGGCCACATGTGTCCTTAAATTAACTAGTGGCACCCACCCAGGAGTTGTTTGAAGCGCTCCAGGTGGTTTGAGCGCAACAGAGCAGCGCCTGGCCAAGGCCTTAGCCGACCAACAGATGTTGATCATGTTGAACTTGGAAGATCCATGACGATCCAAAACCCGAGTTGTAACAGGTGATTGGATAAACAAACAGTTTCAGCGGATTCCAGCATGCTCCAAAATCCAGGATCTTTCCCAATGTTTTAGCCTTTGGCTTCATTTTGGCAGGATAGGTTTGTAACGGAGGCACAGGCACCTCTTTGTCACTACACGTCCTCAGGAGGACCTGTGTTTGCCTCAGGTATGGCTCGATCATAATGCATCCCCAACTGAGGAGCAATGCATGCAGTCCCGCTTCCCAAATCCAACCGGTTTCCACAATCTATGACCACAGTTTTCACCCGCTGAGAATCACTTTATTGCATGGTCGGGTTTGGGGTGTGTTTTGGCGACTCAGGTCGTGAAGACTACGCAGAGTACACGACCGAGAATTTTATCAGCTGGTGACCATGTAGGGAAGCAGAGAAATCTCAGTAAAGGACGGGTACCAGATATCCTGCAAGTTGTTTTCCACCTGGCAATGGTACATGGTAGTGGGGACTTCAATCTGTGGTGAGTTTAAAGCCACAGTTGGAGAATGGCACAAATCAGCAACCCTAGCGAAAACAGCGATGCAATTGAAGCTACCTTGCTAATGGTTGAGTTCCACTCTGTTGCATGTGTTTGTGTTGCGTGTGTCGCACGGTTGCCCGGTATTCTCTTAGTCTTTGTACACTTCCTGTGGAACTTCTGGGGGTGAAGTTCCCAGGACGTCGTGTCACGTCCTCAGCTTTTGAGATAGGCACTGAGTAATGCTCTGTGCGTATGGCACTTGGGAATTCGGAGCCCTTGTTTGTTTGGGATGGCATGTTCAGCATGTGCATGGATGACCCTTCTCCATTGGATAAAGCCAATAGAGCCACCCTTTTTCACAATTCATACATCTCCGAAGCATCCAAGGCGGCCCCAAATGGAAGCCCTTTCGTGGACTAGTCCTGGTAGTTTAGGAATAGTTCTTTTCAGATATCCAACTCAAAGATTCTACCGTTTTCCACTGCTGAAACCCGAGCCTTGCCTGTGCCACCAGGTACGTGCGGGGCCACCAGGACAGGGCCTACTCTCCCCAGGCCAACCAGCCCCATGCATCGTCCCCGCATGTGGCGGGGTACTAGCCACTGGGCCCTGAAAGGTGAGGGAACAGACAACCAAGTCTACTAACAAATGCTCAGTTGGCACATTGATAGTGGCATTGGAGCTATTGATACAGCAATTACTGTGATTTGTAATGCAACCTCTACCCAATATGTTTGGCGGACAAGAGAGGCTATATAGTGTGATGGTGACTCTGGTTGGGGATCCGCTCTTTCCACTGTACTGGTAGTTACATCGATAAACAATCTGCGGGTGACTTCTTCATACCCAAGACGAGACGTAACTTTGAGGGTGCGCACTTTGGTTTAGAAATTGCATTGCGTAGTTTGGATTGACAGCCTTCCTCGTTGCCTAATCTCATTATGCCATCCATTTCTGTGTCATGCTTTATCCCATACTATCAATGCGTTCCCTACACGAGTCCATACAACATCCCGCTATCGCGCTGTCTACCGCTTAGCTAGAGTTCTGGTCCTCTTGTCCGTGCGTATGGTGCAAGAATTGAAGTAGTTCTTTCTTAGAACAAGCATGGAAACTGACGAGAGACCTAGGAAAGCTGGCGTTCCCCTACAAGTTTTCTATGTTCTTTCTTGGCCTACAGGACCCTCAAAAGTCCCCATTCTTGAGTCTTTTTTTCCTCCGAGCCGAACCTGTCGGCACAGGTGGCCGCAGACCGCGAAGAGCTCTACCAGCATATCCTGGACATGTGCGCAAAGATGTTCGTCTTGGCATACTGACATGGGAGTTGGAAAGATGGGCTCCACGTGAGTTTTGTCCGGGTTCCTTTCCTCTACCAGAAAGTAGTTTTCTCCTTGTCGATCCGAAGGCCGGACGTCGAAAGACTATAACATCAAATTCTATCATTCCAGTCCTGCAAGGGTGCTGAAGATGAACTCTAAACCTCCAGAATGTACAACAATTCCTTCGCCCAAAAATCCCAAACCACCCTGCAAACAACTCGTGAAGATGTTGAAATGCTGTTGAGTTTGGGGCACCACAGAGGAACATTCGATTGCAGGTACCACAGAGGAACTCCCATTGTCCTGCTGGCAAGGCAAGCACCGCTGCTGGGCTGCAGAGATGGATGAAATCCCGCATGAGTTGGGATGCAATTCCATGAAATTCCGTTTTCAATGAATCCAGTCCATAAATCAGCAGATCATGAGACCAGCTCACGAGCTCACCACTTGTTTTGAAAGTTCCATGAAACACCCAAGTCATGCCTTGGCAGTTGCTGGAATCGAAGAGAATTGGCCTTTTGCCAAGCTGCCGAAGCAATGGGCCCCTCATTGCCAGAAGGTGATATTGTGACTTAGGCTTAAGGCAAAATGACCGATCCGCCTGAGGGTCTACATGCCGAGATGTTTAGAGTCAAAAGAGGGGCTTCTAGTCGATGTCCCGCCTGAGGCTTTATCCCTTCTTCTTGGACCTCGACTTCTGGGGCTCTACAAGGAGCTCCCCAGTGGTCACTTGTGGGTGCGTGGCGTGAAAAAAATGAGAGGCCCTGACTGTATTTGACTGTCAGTGTTTACTTTGCACTGGTCATCGATCAAGTTCTTTCTTGGTACTTGTAGACAATATATAGCAAGGGCCATACAAGACATGGTTGTCTCAACCCACATCTACTACAGAGCCTGTTTTGCTGAAACTCTGCCGAAATGCAATATATATATACTGTACACGTACATGGCTTCCCCTATGCTACTGGCATAATACCAGGCAGGTTGTTGTTATGGGGGAATGGAATCCCCGTACTCCTGATTGAAAATACCAGATTTCATGTGTAGCAGTGTAGCTACTGCTCCCCACTGCGGTGAGGCCCGATGATCCCTTGCATAGCATCGTGGCAGAGGCCGTGCATCCAGTCACAGGGCTGTGGAGGAGTTGCCAGTCATAGGGTGTCAGTATTGGTTACGATCATCAATGAAGACGAAGCCACAAGATCAGAATAAGACTATATTGTAGTCCGTTGGTTGTACGGGAGGTTCACACACAGTAGCCAGAATTGATCTCACCAGGATGGGGCAACAGCAGGAAATACTTTGCCAGTCTCCTTTTCGTTGCATGCGTCCGAAGACTTGCCACGCTTTGGATTGTGCAAGAATTGGTATGTAGGACTGCCGTTCTCAGCGGGCCAGGGCGATCATTTGGTCCTTCTTCGCTGCATTGCGGGATCCTTAGAACGTTCAACGGCCAAATAGAACACAAGGTGCCGTTGAGGAGAAAACATCAGAACGTTGGAGCAAGGCTAGTAGCAGGGGTAAATATGGCATGGTGAGTGGAATTTCAGAGAGGATATCATGTTGGAGCCTGACATCCGGGTCTAAAGTGAAGAGCTGAGTCACCCAGTCTTGCTCATTGCTCCCTGACAGTTGAGGGCACGAACTGAAAGGTATTGTAGAATATTATAGAATGCACCAGGGTCGTCAGAAGGTGTTATATTATTCAAGCAATATTTGGGAATGGACGCATAGTGGTGTGTGGGAGAAGATCCGTTCAAGTCCAGCCGCAAAAGACACACTCCGTCAACATAGTCCCGGTTTTGCTTAGGATATGTGTTTTTGCCTATGGGTGAATCATGGTGAATCCCCTTCAGGGGAATATTTTTGTTAAGGTTCCTTAAGCAAATCCAAGGGATTCTAAGCTTGTCACCAGACAAGGGACGTGGAGGGTGCTCTCCATGTTCTCTGCGGCCAAAGGATCATGGGTTTCCTCATGTTTCCGCAGCAAGCACTTTCGTCAGGCGTCCGCCCTGCTGGACATCTTCCCACAGCAAGCGACGTTGGAGGTGCAAATGCGTAAGACATGCATGTCAATAAGGAAATGCGAAAAGAAAGAACGTGTTGGTACGAACAAACAAGCCTAGAGGTGACTCAAGTTCCAAATCACAAACCTCTAGGCGACTCATCATCAGCTGGCTTTTAGCCTAAAGAAGAATCCATCCATCCTGGTGGCCCTGGCCCTCCCAGCCATCCATCAGCCCCCAAAGCCCAATGTCGCCCGGGAGGTGGCCGTCTTCTGCTCCTCGGGAGTGGATCGAGAAACAGGTCGCTACAAGGAGCGCGAGCATCGCGTCGAGCGGATCCAGGAAGACCTGGTGGTTTAGTGGGCCTGGTGTGGGAGTTCAGGAGTGTGTGTCATGTTTTGTTTGTGGTTTTACAGTATATATATATATTTATATATATAGTTTTTATATATTATATTGTTTGGATTCCTTTCTACTTCTTGGGCAACTGGGGATCTTACACAGTGTTCTACCTACTAGGGTTTGGTGTTCAGTCTCCTTTGTAGCAGGCGGGCTTGGATTTGGGGGGTATCCTCAGAAACAGCGTTCATCAATGTTCATCATGTTGATGCAAAATTCCTAATCAAAGGGGGTTTGAGCAGGATCACCGCATCACCCTTTTTGGGGAGATAAAGCTAGAAACGACGTGCAGGACTGCCAAAACGTCAGCTTCTTTGCTCAATAGATCACGGGTTCATCATACCAGCGTTGTATCCACCAGCAAATATGCGTGAAGCAGTGCGTGAAGCATGCATCCAGCAACAAGAACAAAGCTGCTTTGGTTAACAAACCCACACTGCTGGGTGTCTATTTGCAAATTCATGCTGGATCCTGACAGTCCTTACCGGATCATTGACCTAAAAGGTGGCATGAAGAAACGGATCCATCATCAAGCCTTTGACTTTGCTACAGTACCACTTGCGAAGACTCCAATCATTGGCCAAGTACTACTGGTTTAAAAGGATTAGCCTGTCTCATGTACGCGGTCCCAACGGAGGGAAGACCTTGATGCAACAGTGAACGGAACTAAACATCAAAGTTTTGATGTTTCATTTGGTGACAAAGTTCGTTTACTTCGGATTGGGCCAGCGGCTAGCGGCTAGAGTTTGTTTCCGCATGGTTGCTTTGTCCACCTGTGTCCCAGCTTCCTTGTCTTCACGTTTGGTCGTGCAAATCCCGTGGACCTCATGACCTTTGGGTTTCATCAGTTTCATCCAGCTCATAATCACCCCATTTGGCCCAGAGTCTTCCCACTGGTCCAGGCCTCCTTCCATGTACTTTTCCCCGAGATCATCGTGCGAAGACCCGCCGGGGTGCAGAGAAGTGTGATGAGTAGATCAGGGGGTATCCAGATCGCAGCGCGTAACAGACTGTGTGTGAGGAAGGCAGGAAGGCTAGGCAAAAGTATGGCCAAGCGGCCAAACAAGCAGTGACCAAATGTTTGAGTGGAAGACATTCATTAGCTTTATCAGATTATCAACATTCTACCAGCCTCTAATGTTTCATTATGATCATTATGTTGTTTCTTTTTTGCATTTGTTGTTCTTTGCCAGCTGCAAACCTAAAGGCCTGGTGAGAAACCTGTGGGACTAGTTTGGGACAACCCCAGGTGAAGTGGATTGGGGTATATGCAGGGGTTGCAAGCGGATGCAGACCAGCTTAACCGAGCAAAGGTGTGAATAAACTCGGTGCTTACTTGGTTGCCGGCAATAATGCAAGTGCAGGTTCAGGCAATATGCATCCATTCTATGAAGCTGACAAGATGTTTGTAAGTCCAGCGTCGACGGTGTGACCCTCCCAGTGGTCCCAGCAGTGCATAGGGATCAAACGATTTGATTAATCAAGCTCTTCTACATCTCCACATGTGGGGTCTAACTATGTTTTACGAGTTAAGTGTCAACACTACATATGTTTTCCTGATGTCCTTAGTGCCAAAGGACTAGTCTTGCCGGCAGGATACGATGCTATGAGGCTGTGAGACTCCTGTAGACACAAGGATGTACCACAAAGAAAGTCATGGCTATCTCATCTATCTCGCATTCATCCATCTCACGTAGTCTCAAAAGGGTGTCGACCAAGTCGGGGGCTGGGTACCTCACCTCCGCAGGAACATATGCAGGGAAGGATAAGACCACCATTGAACCGAGTCCCACAAAAAACAGACGCATCACGGCAAGCTTGGGTGATTGTTTTTTTTTTGCGGCATTCGATTTATGATGGCAGGACCTTTCTCCTTTGCCCATATATTGGTGTACGTACCATATATATATAGTCATTGAATGTGTTCAGCTCTGCGGCGGCCCAGATCTTGTGCCTTGACGCCACACAGTCGCTGGGCAGGAAGAGGAGGAAGACGTGGAAATGGACTAGCAACCTTTTAACTGTATGCAGTTCTACACCTCGTAAGAAAGCGGCAGTTCTGAAGAGACCTTCGCAAATGGATGTCCAGAGTGGAAACGGTTTGAAATTAACTAAGTGGGGGTCATTGCTGCTCTCATCGGTGTGAGGGTAAATCAAAGATGGGTTGATCATGAGTACTTTCTATTAAGAGATTCAATGAACGAAGTCCAAGCTGGTCATTATGGGGGAAAACTGCTAAACACTCCCTGACAAGTCTTCGGAAGACCATTTCCTGTGCAAGTGTTTGCTCAGCTTCCAAAATTCTCTGAGGGAGTGAGCACAATGTAGACCTGCATCAGTGCTGAGGTCATTCTGCTTGGACGGGCAGGCAGCATCACACATCTTGGTCCGAGATCACGCCTCACGCTCAGACTCAGAGCTTTGCAATTCGTTCCCCAGCCAGCCAAGCCGTAGCAGGCCACTAACTGTTCATCTCTCCACAGTGCTTTGAACCCCGGTCCTGCAGCTTTTTGCCACCCAAATCCACCGAGCTGCGCGGATGCCGACTGTTATTGTGTGATGCTTGTGGACGAATTCTGTCCCTTCAGAGCAAGGTCGTGGCCTCCTTGGCAGCGGCGGAGAAAGAGGTGCAGTCCAAAGCTAAGGAGCATATCGGTACGGACGACAAACTGGCTGATGCTGACACACTGTGTGTACAATGACATGCCTTAATCATATACGGAAGATTATACACATATGAATCAACATCGCCGCAGCGTCACATTGCAGACGCATACATGCCTCCTAGAGAATAGAATTGAATAGAATCTTGGACACGATGAAGTTTAATCTTTGGGGGTTCTTTGGCGGAGTCCTCTAGGAAGCCACTGGAGGTGTTTCAGAGTCTTCTTAAAGGAATTGGAGTTTCGGCACAATAGGAACCCTCATAGAAATGCACATGACCCTGGTCATCGGCCCATCTTCACAGGTGCTTTTTGGCGGAGGCCACTCGCCTAGGCCTAGACCAATTGCTCAAAAAGGAAATCGCTTTGGATAAAGGTTCAAGTTTGGAACAACATGGACAATTTGTGAAAACTCAAGTTCAAGAATGTTCAAGCATCTTACAAAGCCCTTCTCAACCTTTGTGTCTTTCAGAGTGCACACAAGTTTCCCCACAAGGGTTGATTGCAAGCACGTGCCTTTGTCTCATCACCGTTTGTGATCTAGGCACGGTAAGTAGACTTTTGGCAGAGATGCACGCAGAAGCTATGTTGCACGGTCAACTGGATATTGGGATTGACACCTCCTGCTGCCCACATGCTCCATTTGTCGCTTTGCCGTCTGAGGCGCTTGAACTCATTGCGGATGAAGGCCTCCAATGAGATCATCGAGGCGCAACCCGCCCGTGTGAAACGGGGGCTGAAAGGATTGGAGATTCGGTTGGAGCATGTTGGAGCCTGAAATCCAGTCATTGTTTTCCAGGTCGAATGTTTTCTTGACACGAGCACCTGACAACAAAGCGACAAGCAATGCTCCAAGAACCACAGACGGTGTTGCTGAAGAGAAGACTCCTGCTTGCCATTTCTTTGTTCCACTTTGCAACAATGCACTGAAGCTCCGTCTCCGGATGTTATTCCCACAAGACAGTTTTGTTTTTAGCAATGTAGTGAGTGTTTGCACACAATTATTGTCGCTCTACGTAACTTTGTTGTTGATTAGAATATAGCATGTACGGCGGTTTGCTCCGGTGGCTGGGATTGGTTTGCTACACAGTTCGGTTCAAGCACCTGCCCTGGTCCCTGGAAGTCCCGGCGGAAGGCCAACCCCGAAGAGACGCCTGAAGAGGCCTTACGTGCCGGAGCCCAGAGAGGTGAGAGGTGACGTGGTGCAGGTGCTTATAAGGTGAAGGGATTTAACGTATAAGTAAAGGTTTTCATGATATCAGGTTGGTGATACTAGTACGTTGGATGATGGAGCTTAGGGATTCCAATGGTCTTTGCAAAATTGATTGTACTCATGTTGTTTGAGCTCCAGCATTGATCCTTCGATGTTGCCAAACACATCGGTTCAGGATCCGTAGTATGCCAAAGCTTTTTGCAAAAAGTGTTGCACACATTGCATCAAGCGGCTTTTGGTCTCAAATCCTGTCAGGTCAGGAAGCAGAGAAAGGAGCAAAGCCAAGCAACTGAAAAGCGTTGGATTTGGAAAACCAACCTGTCGCCACACTGCCCACCATACATCAGGTCGCGGCAATGTGGAAGGACTAGCAAGTATACAAATGAAAGTCAAGTATCTTGAGATATCACCCCACCCATCGACATTCGTATATTCTCTTACATCCTTCGAGAGGGCCCTCACGGACCTTACTATCGACTCGTTGTAAGTGTCGGACAAACCCAATCAATGTCAGTTGTTTCTCCAAATAACTACATGTTGGAGAGTTCCCCTCTATTTTTTTAAGGATACCCTGCCCACTGGGGACTGGCCTACAACATGGAGGCTTTGGAGAAATCCCTGTGGTTGGGCCCAGTGCTCAGAGTTCCCTTCATTTTCGGACCCATCCTGGAAGTGATGGGTCCTTTAGCCTCCACCCCGATAAGGGCCGGCCCAGGAAAAAATGATTGGTGCGAGATCTTGGATGAGAATCCCTTCTGGCACGATCCGAGACCAGGTCGGCAGGCTTAAAGAAGACGAATTGCAAGCGCATATCGCTTTGTGGTTTTGAAGGTTGCAGGAGTTGTGCCTCCTATTCATCAGTCGGAGGAAACAGAAAGACCCCAAATGAACCAGCAGTAGTACCATGCAAGAGACCTTTGAAAGTGGGTGGGGTCCGAAGTTTGTCGAACTTGCCGAAAAAAGAAATGGACACAGATACTGGCATTTTATCGATTCTAGAAACTGCTTCTAGCCGTTGAACCATCCATCTTTTGTAGCAAAGAAGCTTCAAGGGCCTCTCAGCGCTTTGAAACCAGGCTCTTTCCTGTTCACGTGGCTCTACATCAGTGTTCAATTGTGGTGATATATGGAAATATGATCCAGCTAAAAACAAGACAAGAACCTATAAAAACCTAGCAAGACCTGCTCTTCACATTTTCTCAGGCCTTCATGAGAACTCATTTGGGAACTGTCATTTGGTCATCGTACCCCTCCGAAGCGTTGCCGGTGCATGCGACCGGGTTCCGGCGACCAGGTCGGCGCACCGGCTTTCGGCTGCCGTTCACGGACAAGCGCTGGGGAGACAAGGCTGGGGGAGTCCGGAAGTTGAACTGATAGACGTGTTGGAACTAAAGAGCGATTTTTTGTTGGTAATATACTAATTACTTATATAATATCAATGCATATATACATATGTATATAATTAATGTAGTTACAGGCAGAATTCAGGCATAATGACACACCGGTAAATAAACAAATGAACATGTGAAGGGCTTCCACACGGTGTCTGAAAACAAGGCAATTGAAAGTCAGTCCTTGTCTAGTAGTTTTTTTGTACATGTTGTTATTCCTCAGTACGGCCATGTGAGCAGTTGCTTTGTGGTGACCTGGCTATCTACAAACTTGCTACATCTTGCTACTCTTTCTTTGTTTGTTTGCCTATGTGTATTATGTGTGTGGGACGAGTGGCAGATGAAAGGCCAGCTCAAAAAGTCAAGAAGCGGCTGCAAGGAGACCTTTCCCAAAGAGTACATACTGCCCTGAAAACCCATCAAAGTTCATCCATGTTCATCCTTAAGTCTTGTGGTTGAGTCCGTATATTATCTTGACGAAGTACGTATGGATCATAACAAACCAACAAACAGACAACATTCTTTGGGCCTGCACCAATCCATAAAGATCCGTCCAACAATGTTTTGATGTTCACTCCCTTGGCTGTGGGGTATTCAGTCACAACCCACCCAAGTGACTCCAAACACTTCGGCTTTCGCTCCGTGATGACTCAGCAGGCGATGGAAGGCCGTGTGAAGTTGCCCTTAGGCCGCTGGAAGTTCCAGGCGCATGGGCGCACGGGCGCATGGTACTGGAGGTCCGAATGAATGGAATCCAGTTGATTTGGCAAATGGGGAGACAAGTAGCTGTGTCATCTCGGTAGGGACTGTAGTTCTAAGGCTCAGTAGCTGTGAGAACGCCAGGTTTCGGCCTCGCAAACTGGACACATTTGTGGGATGGTCCGGTGGTGGCCAGGCCCAGGCGAGGCAAGCTCATATGTATCTATATTTCTGCGCCAAGGTAGAAGTGTTGATGTGTTGTTCCCTTCCTGGATAGATGGATTGCTGCGTTTCCCTGCAAACCCTTGCCAGATGGTATTCACCCTATTGTCCTGTGATTCATGATCGAAAGCCCCTATGAAAGCTCTGTAAGTAATTGTGATAGGATTCCCATTGATTCCCGCTTCAGGGCACTCTCGAGACTCTTGGAGTGTTGCCAGAGCATTGAGGCCCCGGACATCTTAGAAGAGCTTCCCAACTTGACTGATCTCGAATGGGTCGGGATGCCTGAGATGAAGAGGAAGACGAGGTCACCTGGTTTGCATATGTAGATGAAACATGTCAGTGGCTATCGGGGTCACCGATCGTTTGCCATGCTTCTTTCGAACATTGCCAAAATTATTGTTCAACAACTAGTGCTTTTGCAGCCTCTCGACTCAACTGAATATGACTATTGAAGGAGATATAATGACATGCATGTGGGGACAGACATTCGGTGTCTAACTTGATGTTGGTACATCTGAACACTAAGTTGAACTTCTTTGGAGGATCTTTCCGATTGTATTGGCGAACATCCATTATAGTTCCGGACGTACGAATGAGTGTGACTGACAAGGAGCTCTCTTCCTTGTTTAGGTGTAGTAGGGTCGGGGTCCAAGTTTGCAACCTGCGTGATACAGTAGTCCTGCAAAAGCATCACCGTCACTTGGGGAACATGTACTCAATGGTCAAGATTGAAGGTCCAGGATGTATCCCTAATGACAATCCAATCAATTACCTTTCATTGGTTTTTGTTTGCATTCCATCATTACCTCGGCATGTGGAAGTACACATATGGGCTGGCTGTATGGATTTGGGATAATTAACTTCAGCAAGGCAGCAAGGACCAAGGACAATCTTTTGAGCAAACAAAGACAACATCCGAACATATCCGAACAAACAAAAACCAAAAGTGTTAAACACATAAAAGCCGAACAAAAAAAGACAAGTGTTGAAAAAGCAAAAATGCGTGGAAAAAAAAATACTATTTCCAAAAACACATGTGTTCCTCTTTGGACGGTCCCAGAGTCCCAACGGCCCAGTCTTCCGGGTCTTCCCAGCTTCCGGTCCCAGGTCCGCTTGGGCGACGTCTCTCGCAGCTGGGCGCAAGCAAAGCGGTCGAAGATCAGTGAACAACATGGGTGTGACTCCAAAGCTAATCCAAAACCATGATAGGTTGACACAATTTGACACATGGCCACATGGCAGAGGACTGGTCGAACAGTTGACTGGTTTTTGCGATTTCAGAAGTTGGTCATGTCAATGTTGTCGACTATGATGGTAATGACACAACTGGTGGGTTCTACGATCACTGGACAAATAGAACGTCAATGGTAGCGACGGTGAGCCCACTTGCCCATTTTTCACCACTTGTTGAAGGGTTATATACCTCTATGCCTCTATACCTTCAAGGCATTTTGTCCAGTCCTTCGGCAGCCTTCGGCCACGCAAATATATACTCATATATAATCATATATATATATATATCCTGTTCTGACCCTGTGAGATACTCCTCGATGTCTTCCAACAACAGGTCGGCGGTATCCAATTGATCTTAGGATACTAGGCGCCGCTTCAGTGTCAGGAAAGCGCCAGGGGCAGTTGCAGGGAGGTTTCTTGTGGGGTGACACATCATGAATTTGGGTTTCTCGCTGTCCCAAACATTCAGGACCAACTCAAAACAGACCTTGAAAGTTTTGAGAGATGCTGGGTCCCTGGGTCAAGCTGCCCTTTGTTGGGCCTCTGGGCTTGCGCAAGAAGTTCTCGTGAAAAGTCCTGCATGGGAAATGCGCGGCGCACGTACTTGGAATTACCGTATGTTTTTTTGCCAACCCATAATATCAATTGTTTGTTGTGCCAGTGTCTTTGTCGGGCCATTGTCTTTATTCATCAAAGACGATCTGATTATATAATAAAAGATTGTATTGATGGATTGTTTGCAAAGAACCATTCATCCAGCGAATAGGATGGACCCAGCCTGTACATGCCTGATGGAATCTCAGAACTCTCCCAGCCTTGTTCAGTCCAAAGATCCCCACCAAGGTCGTTGAGTCTTTTTTGATGGAGATTGCCGATTGCATGAAACTTTGTGCACCCTTTCTGGATTTTCCTTGGATTGATCAGTTCGCCCACCAGTTAGCAGACATCTTTGCTTTCACTGAGGTGCTGGGTACTTTGGGGAACCAAATCCATCTTGCTGCACCGATTCCTTCAGGTCCTGCGGCTTCGGAGACCCCGATGAACCAACAGAAGCTCCAGGCAGGGCGGAAACCAACCAGCTGGTGCCGAAGCAGTGACGGTTGGAGTGGCATTTGGAGGTCAAATGGCTATGAACGGTGGGCCAAGGTTTTGGCTTTCAACATGGGGGCTTTGTTGCATTCATTGTTTTGTCCATGTGGAAAGATCTTGCATCACTTGCGGGTTCAGTTTTGATCCTCTCGCATCCCACGAAGACATGTGTGTGGGTGCGGGGAAGACAGAGACCCAACAATACTAAATATTAATATATTTTGGTTGATCAAACGTGTGTTGGTGAACCTTGTGGGGTGGACTTTCTGACTTAAGAAGCAACGTGTTCAAGCTTCCAAGTACCATCCAGTCCTGAGAAACGAGATACACTCGCTGAAACAGTTCATGGAAAAGTGGAGTTCACCTGTTTGGTATTCGGAAAATGCTTGTCTAAGGGGCATGCCATTCACTTCCATAATGTATCCAGGGAGTGTATATATTAATATATACTTGCATGTTGGTCCATGCGTCCCCGTCTTATGATAGCATAGCCGTTGAGAGTCATGGGTATGTAGAATGGTGGACCTGGTTGAGATTGTTTCCACTATTTTCCACTGCGAGATGGGGAAATGGTCCCAGTTGGCATACCCCGTGTTATCCAAAATACTCGGAGCTGTGTGGTAGGGAAAGTATATGAAAGATGTAGGAGCCCAAAGAATAGGAGGACCCCTGAATTTATCCAACATTCTCGGCTGAAGGACACGGTTCATGGATCAAACCTGGATGGTTCTGGAACAGAGCTTACCTGTTTGAGACGGTGCAAATAACTGGTGGACTGCTGGTATCCTCTGGTGAAAAGAGGGCTGAAAATGACATACTGTGTGTATAAAAACCTGCAGATCTTCAAGAATCCAGAGGGTATATAGACATAGACTAGAACGCATCAGAAAGAAAAGGTTGTAAACGTTCATTCCTCACAAGGTCCCTCTATCCATTTCGAGCCATTTCGATAGCACCTCTCCCTCCTGAGGCTGACCAAGCTGATCTTTGTTGCAAGTGCCTGGTGTGTGGCTTGACACCTTGAAACGCTTTCGCATGCATCGCGACCCACTACAAGACCAGAATATTGGGAGTGTAGCCAGATCACCTTCTAAAGATACGGTGATCAGCAGATTGGTGGTTTTGAGGCTGCAGGAGCCAAAACTCAAAAGCCACTCGTAGACAAGGCCCTACGAGAGCAACTTTCCTTGTGAAACCGGGAGGAAGTTAAGACAAGCATGCAGAAAGATGTTGGGTTGATCTCATCATGGGGGATCGTTGTCAGAATTATGTTGATCATGAATCATGAGACAGAGACCTCTTCAGACTTGTTTTTATGTTGTGCAAGACGTTGTGGGAAACAGCTACAGGATAAAGTGGTGAAGAATCATGAAACACGCAAATCAACACCAAGCCTGGACTGCAGGATCATGACACGCAAGTTTGAAGCACTTACCAGAAATTGAAAGTTGCAGTGTTGACCAATCTTGGGATTCTCCGTGATTTCTTCACATTTCACCACGGGTGTAAATTTTGGTGCAAGCAGAACATGGGGTCAGCAGTTGCAGAAGCTTCACTTTGCTCAACCTTGAAGCAATTGCACTTGATCAACAAGATCCATACAAGATCCTGCATTCAACGCAACTTTCTTGTCCATACTCCAATTGGTACAAAAATGTTCGAATGTGCTAGGTCTGGACAGACGATGATTCCCAATATATCTAGAAAAATAAAGATAATAAACCCAATAGATAGTAAAAGAATAAATATATATATATATATCACCAAATAATAATCGTTTACCAATATAATTCGGTATTATAATATAAGGTTTCGATTGATTGTAATTAAATTGAATTAATTTGAATATTGAATTGGAATTTTATATTAATTCGATTTATTTGTAAATAATATATTTAAAGATCTTCGATTCGATTTTATGATATATATATATATTAAATAATAGTATTTAAAAAAAAAATGTATATATAAGAAAAATATATAAAATAGAAAAAGGAAAAGGATAGATAAAAAATAAATAGATAATTGATTGTATTTATTAAATGAATGATATTCGAATGATTTTTATTATGATATTTATATATTTTATTATATAAATATTATGGTGATTTATAATATTATTTATTATTTTATTTGGTATATTGTTTGGCATTTTATTTGGTAATATATTTATTTATTTATCTGACATATTATTTGGTATATTTTTTTGTAGCATTTTATTTGATATTTTATTTTGCAAATTATTTGATTGAGATTTAGGTGTGTATATTATGATTGGATTCTTGCGGTTGAGGGAATCTTTGCGATTGAGGTTTAGGGATGCACATTGCATTCGAATCTTGGCGATTGAGATCTAGGGCTGCATATTGCGATTCGGACCTTGTTAGACAAGTTTGGCGAGCAAGGAAGGAAGGAAAAGGAAAAATAATTAGCAGGTGAGGAAAAAATATAATTTGTAAGGTATACATAGAATTAAAAAATATAAATTATTGAAAAAAAAAATAAGTATTATTATGGTAATTTGAGATTCGTATTGAAATTTATAAATAAAGAATAGTTTATGGAATATAAATTAATATAGTAATATTATATATATATATTTCGCTTTTGAGTTAAATCGATTAAAGAGGTAATAACTACCTTTAAAGTAACATCGATATATTTATAATATTTTATTTTATATTAAATAAAATCGAAAAATTTATAGTATATTTTTATTTTTTTTTTCATTTAAAATTGTTGATTTAAATTAAAATTATTAATAAATCGGGGAATGGTTTTTAATTTTATCTATTATAATTCTCCTCCTTGAATATTTTAGAATATTCTAATGGATTTTTTTTAAATCCTAAGATTATATTATGTGGATTTATTGAAGAAACATGATTTTATTATTATTTTGGAATTTGAATGATTAATGAATGGAATAATGCCTATTGGAATTTGATATATATAACAGATTAGATCGTTTTGTACCCCTCCTGGTCATGATATATTTAGTTATTATTCGTATAGATTAGGTTTTGGTGGCTATGCATGTCCCGGGTCCTTTGCTTCAGGTCCATCTGGCCCTATGGCCATCTATCAATAGGCGTGGTCCATCCAACATGGCGCCAAATAGTTCTGGTCCAAATGTCGATGTAACAAATTGCATCAATATTTTGTGTACCTTCCTCAGAAGCATCTAATATTTGTATGGGGATATTTTTATATATCCATTAATTATGAACCCCATATAATTCATATCATTGATTCCAAATAAATATAAGCAATCCATCGTGATAGATAAATCTTATTTCAATTGGTTCAGGGTTATGGCTTGATTACATTGTATTGGCGTGAGAAATGTTGTGCGAAAATTCGCCACGGTCAACCCACCTCCAGAATAGATTTTGCCTTTATGCGGCACACGCAGATTCGATGGCCCTTGCACCGCCCAGAGATCCATATTGATTTTGAATTTAAATTTGGTCAGCTTGATCCACACTACCATCCGTTGAATTGGATTATCTCCAAATGGTATCCAAATCCTCGATCAAGCCCTGTCCTACAATTCGACCGCTTTCGAATCCGCCAAGAGATGAAGCAGAATACACCTAAATGGCAAAATTTCATGAAAGAGATCCGGCATTTTTTGGACACTCAATTCCATATTGATTCCAATCCCTTTGATGCCACTGAGATTCACCTGACCATACGTTGTCGGGAGTGATTTCCCAAAGTCCCCCCAGCCACGACGTCTGCGGCCCCGTTGACCTCCCTCTCCACACAAATATGGCAGGCCCGCAAAGTTGTCCGAGCACTGAGGGATTGCACGGCGGCATCCATTTTCCAGGGTTGGCACCATTTGGCCAAATTTCGTCGATCCCACAAGCAGCTTCGCCTGTTCAACCGTCAGAACAAGAAGCAACGATTAAAGAAATTTTTGCAGGAAGGGGCGGACTTCGCCTTGCGCAACCAGACCTATGATTGATTTAGAAGAGTTCGAAAGCTGTGCCCAAAGCAGATATCGCAAAAGATTCAACTGTTCGATATGCATCGATAACCCTTGTTGCCAATCCATGAATTCCAACAGATTGAAATTTATGTGTGACAGTTGTACCATGATCCTGCCTTTGAGTCGCCCAACGTATCTCCCCTAAACCAATTCCCGTTTCACTCGATATGGAGAAAGCTTTTGATTCGGTCAATCGGACAGTTGTTTAAAGAATCCTTGACCTGATCCATCTCCCCCTGACATTTTGAACATGATTCAATCTTGGTTGGTACCACACCAATATTTTATTTCATTCAAAATACTTGTTGGAATAATCCAGGTCAACCGTGGCATCAAACAAGGATCTATTGATGCCCCTATCCTTTGATCTCTTTATCTGAATTTGATCATGGTTGATCTATTTAATAGGTATTCGCATGAGTGGTTGCATAACCACATTGTAGACTACGCAGATGATGTGCACCTGAGGTGGTGCCTTCAATGTATAACAGATGGTCTCTCTGCCCTCAATGACCTCTTTTACATCCTTCATATATTTCATTCTTTTGATTTTAACATCAATGCCTCTATAAGTGTGGTTCTTTTTCGGGCTGTTGACAAGGGAGTGGCCCAATATACCAAATATTGGATTTGCCAGATCGCCAATGGACCACAATTGGTGATTTCTGATTCACCGTTCCGCCTGCCCATGGTTGCAAGAACGGCTTATCTAGGGTTTGTGCTAATTATCGAGCTTGGGAAACGGATACGATAGCTAGACGCATCCAAGCTGCACAGCTCTGTTTTCCATTTTGAAGCGGTGGCTCCAGCCACAAACCATTCCGCAAAGCGTTCGGTTCAGGCTGTATCGAATTGTCTTCATTCTCCTCTATGGGGTCCATGAAATGGGATTGCCTGCCCAGTGCTGTAAACGCATTGCTAATATATTCAGTTAAGACTATAAGTATATGATACGATTCCCTGTTCACCTGACATATAAAAGCATTCCCACATTTTTCAGTAGATTGGGCGTCACAACACCCTGGATAATGATTATAGAGACCCATCATCGCCTGAGCACGGCCCTGGCCCTCAAGCGCCAATCCATGACAGATGAAGCTCAGACGCCTCTAGATGTCTGCATCCTCAGCCCGGATTACCCGTCTTGGCCCATAGATGATTATATTCCCCCATCACCACCGTTGATTCAGGCCTCTCTGGCCTGTCTTGAATGTCCCAGATAATTTGTTCAGGCGGGTATGCCGAAGAGACGCATCAGGCAGAAATATCATATACCCTATTTGCCGGAAGATACATTTCGGCCACTTCGTGACGCCTTCGAGGATCGACCAATTTGTAGACATTGCAATATCAATAGGAGAATTTGCCATGCTTTCGATCCCTCGCAGGCCGCCGTTCTCCCCATCGTGGCCAGGGAGGAATTGCAGACGCATGTCGTTCGTCACAGTTCCTTCGTGGGCCTAATGTTCGATGGCGTAATGTTCGATGGCGCCATCTGTTCGGAATTTGCGAACCGCTGCACATTCTGGAATGGGATCATCCATGCAAGGATCATGATCCAACATTATATAGATGCATACCCAGAGTTTGTGGCGCCAACCAAACGCCAATCCAGCTTTGTAAATGAACTCTCCAATTTAGTCTCCGGCAAGGGTCAATGCCCAATGTGTAGGTGCAAAAGTCTTAATATCCAGACTCACACCTGCGTAGTTATTTTCCAGCTAGCTACAATTTTGGGCCATTTCATGCAGCCGGAACACTTCCCAATCATGCCTCTTCGGAACAGACCCTAATCAACTAGCATTGGCCCAGGAGGATGACTAGAATATCCCTGTTCCGGCAGCCAAGCAGCCTCTCTTGAATTCCACATCTGTGCCGGACTTGGACTCCAGGATTGACGTTGTCCGGGATCCACACAATTCCTCGGTCCATCCAATATTGCATAAATGTCCTACGTATCAAGCATGCTTTCAGAGCTCAATTGGCCTGCCAAATTATCAACAGGAAATCTATGTTTAGGTCTCCACGAAAATTGATCCATTCATTACCCCTGCCAGACGAGGGCGCCAAAGTGGCGATGACATTCTTCCCAAACGCCTGAACAAGAAGATCTCTGAAATTCCAGTGCCGCTTCAGGAATTTAAATTCCCGTCGTGCTTTGAAAGAATGGACCAGAAGACGTTGGCAACCCATTTCAGGAATGCATACCAGATTGACAAGTCCAATTCGTTTCCATTCCGGCTAAGTGTCGACATATTTCCGGACCGCCTGATTTTGCATGCATTGTAAAACCAATTTTACAATATCCTTTGCTATCAAGAATCATTTTGATAGAGATATATATCCGATCCTTCTGATCAATTGGGTCCGTGATACCCACTATAGACCGGTGGTTCAACCTTCGTTGCACACCATATCGATTCCGTTGCCATTGGATAGGACCCCTCTAACTTTGGGCTTGACGCGCGGTACGTTGAGCATACCCCCCACAATGGCATTGATCCATTTTGATCCTTAGCCAATTGCACCCAATTTTACCTTTCATCCTGAATATAGATTCCATTAATATGCATTCGTAATGCAATGGATGCTCCATTTCCACGACCTGCCTCAGGTGTTGTTGCCGTGATTCATATCGTCAATTGGATCGTGCAACCATTGCCGTTGTTCTGGGCCTGACTCTCAAACAATCATGACACTTGGTGGAATCCTACATAATTGGTTCTGGACATGGATAGCACCCCACAGGTGCAATTCTATCGTCTTGCATTTTTAGAATTCGAACATGCCCTTGATTTTGTTTTGGACCCAATTGCCCTTGACCATGTCGGATGATATATAAATTAACGACAATATATCATTTGCGGATTTATTCGACTCATGTCAGGCGTGCCTCAAGCGGCCCAGGACAGACTCCCTAAATTCTTCTATTCCTGCCAAGCGAAAGGGCCGCTCGAACCCCGGTCAGACTCCTCAACCACTTCTTCGAGGCACCACGGCGACTCCGGGCTCTTACAGATGCTTACAAAGCTGAACCTAAGACAGGAGGATATGCTAAATCAGATGATTTTCCATCTTGCCATCGATGATTTCGGCATCAAAGGACTAGCGCCAGATAAAATAGGCAATTAGTGTCACCTGTCCTCTACGTCAAATATTTCTCCTAAAAATGATGGAGGAGATTATTCAGAGGTCAAATAAATTCAATCTGCAGGATTCGAACGATCCCTCGATGATGGGCTTGCGCCACAGGTAGATCTTGATCCAAGAAAATGCCTAGAATTCTCTCTCTTAGGACGCTTCCGCCAAATACCTTCGATCGACCACGCAGGCTATGATCCAATTTTCACAATTGGCAGCTCAGACAGACCTAATACAATGCTTCTCGGCATTGAAGACTATGAACAAAGATCAAATTCCGGACGATGTTCAAGCAACCATCCCATGGAGATTGGACGTCTCAATCCGGTCAGAGGCACCACAGAGATTGCTCGAGATCCTAAAGCTTCTCAGCGGAAGCAGAGTTGGATAGCTGGTTCTATTGAGGATCAGATCAACAGGCCTGTAAAGATCCCCGCTTATTACGACAATAGCCCACCGTACACGACGTTAAAAAAAAAAGATGCTATATATAACATTGCACAATCCTCAAAATCATTATTACATCAATGGGGTGTTTATGGGTCAAATTTTGGCAACTTTAGTATTTGAACATTTTCATGTAATTCAATGGAGATAATAGGACCGATCCCCTGTTAGCTGTGCTTGAAGCCTCACCGAAGCTTATGGATCTTCATGCAATTGCGCCATTTCAAAATTTCCTTGTTACTTGGTTTCTGGAACACATCATAGGCACACAATGCAACAAGACGTTGCTAAATTTGCAGGGTAATTAAGAGCGCAGACGCTTACGACTTACTTATGGGATCATTTATTATAGGGTTAATAGAATAGACTAACCAATGATATTAAGGTGGAATTTTCATTGTATAATTTACAAATGTTTATCAATATATAGCATAATCAAGCACCATTCATTCATGCCTATAATATAAATCATCCATATATTCTCCTGCAATTTAATCATTTCCCCAATCTCCATCATAAGCATAGGGCCGTTATAAATTTCCCTCGGATTAATGTGTATATGTTTGTATTCTCCATTTACACAAACACCATAATTCAGTGGAAAGCCTACCGAATGATTTCAATCCTATGTAATTTTAACTATAAACTTAGTGTTAACCACTACCAAGACATATTTTTTGTTAATCATTACCAATACATATTTTTGAGTTCTAACAATTCCTAAATAATAAACAATAACCGCGGCGCAATCCTATCGTTAGTGGTTATTATCATATAAAAATATATATATATGGGGGTAACTCCGACCTAAAGCATAAAAAAAGAATCCATCTAATCTTTCAAGTTTATTAGTTACAATCCTTTATTAACCCTTATATAAATATTATAATAAATTATATTATTAATTTCTATTTATTATATAATAAATATAAAATATTTAGAAATTGCAAATCATTAATAATATAAAATTTAAATATATTTTTTAAAATTAAAAATATTAATATATTAATTTCCCAATAAAATTCGTATCGAATAATAATATATATTAAATAATTTATATTTTAAAACAATTTTAATATATTAATTTTTATAAATAAAATATTCTTAAATAAGTATTTATTTCTATTAAAAATAAAATTAAATCCGAATTAAATTACATAGCGAAAAAAAAAAAATCATTAATTTTAAGAATTACAATCCCAATTAATAATACAATAAACAAATATCATACCTATATATTAAAGCAAACAATAAACAACAAATAACGCCAAGTAGCAACAAGCAACACCCAGCAGCCGCCAGCAACCAGCAGCCAGCAGGTAGCAACCACCAGAAAGCAGCATATAATAGGCCGCAAGCAATAAATGGCAGCGGCAAACACCCAGCAACAGGCCGGTAGCAGGCCTGCAGCCAGCGACTAAACAACGGCCGGCCAGCAGCCAGCAAAAGGCCACCATCCAGCAGCAACAGCCGGCCAGCAGCCAGCAGCAAACAGGTGAAGAGCGCCTGCAATCCAGACTCATCTGGGAACACATTCTGGAAGCCGTTCGAACATTTTGACACCATGATCTCGCATGCGCCTTAGACATCTCTAGACCTTGACCCGCGGAGGTCATCCAGGTTTCGAATTTCGACTCTAATTCACCTTTTAGTCTCCGCCTTGAAGCAAATCTCTTTTGGCATCTTTTGGCCAAAGGCCGGCCTTGGAGTCAACGAGGGGCTTTGGTTGACGCAGTAGAGAGAAAGCAAAAACACATCTACGAAGCCGCATCCACCTTGCCAACTTCAAAGGCAAACAACCTTCATCCGCCTTCATCCCTCAAATCTGTCCAACCTCAAGGCAAAAGAATTAGTATTGAGGTCTCTCAGCATGAACCAAACAAGTGCCACTCTTTCGGAAACTTATCTCTCGGGGATCCAGGATCTTGTTAATGAAGTTTGAACTGCGCCCACTGGAATGGAAACTGCCCCCAGCCCCCCCGCTTTTACCCGAAGCCTCTCCTTAGAAGGCATGGTGGCATCAGGCCCTCCCAACAAAGCAGCAACAGCCTGGCACGGCGTACAAAAACATAGAAAAAACATAGAAATACAGTACATTCGTCTCCAAAAAACTAGTTATTGGTGCACCTCTGCCTCCGCGAAGTCAAACCCTCACTCCAAAAGAACGTCTGTCTCTTCCGGATCTCGCAGGGGCAAAGCTTGATCTGAATGTGGAAGGAGTGGTACGATCCAGACCCAAAATGGAACAGAAGGAACGTGATAACTTTGACAGCAATTTGCAAAACCTTCCTCCTTGTTTGGCCTCAAACGACTTCCTCTCTAGCAAATCAAGTCATGTGCAGCCGTTCGAATTCCAGTCCGAGCCAATTGTACAGAAAAGTGTCTTGCAGCAAAGGCCATGCCTCCTCTGCTGGTGCAGTTGGCCAAAGACGTCCACGTTCTGGTACTTCCTGGCACGAAGACACAAATGTCCAAACGTTGGACCATTTATCCCATCAGGACTCTTGGCTCAAATCCCAGTGAGCCAAAAGGGGGTATAGTTCAACAGCCTCCTGTGGTATGGATGGACTCATTGTTCGCTTGCGTTCGCTTTCACTTTGCTTCTCTGCTATGGCTTTCCTTGCATGTTCATGCAATGCCACTTGTGGGCACCAATGAATTGATGTTGGGAATGCCTGTGAGATGGCTGGAGAAGGACTCCAGCATCAGGCCTTTTTGAGTGATTTGTCAGAGTTCCTCCGAGGGAGACATTCTGACTTGGAACAGGGATCCTCTTGCACCAAAGCAACGGCAACCTAGTCAACCCCCCCCTGAATCTATCCACTCAGAAACATAAAACGCAACCGATGCCCTCGATATCTGTCTTTCATTGTCTTTCCTCATCAAGTGGAAAACCTAGCAGAAGGATGTAGGGATGTGATTGGGACACTCATGCAGCTCCTTGCAGGTCTTGTGCAAGAAGCGACCAAATTAAATTGTCATCCAGTCATCCAGCTCTCAAGATTCCCCGCCAGCGACGGAGAATCTCCCATCATTCTGAATCGGCCTCTGCTCTTTGGGCAATTTGTCAGATGCCAAGGATGGCCATTCCCCCAATGCCATCCCAACATGCTGACAAGAACAGCTCCAATTGCAAAGGCATCTTCTTCCCTTCTCGTCTTGAACCTCAGTTCATGAACAGCCCCTGGGTAGCCGAGTGCGTTGGCGTGCGACACATGGGGCACTGACGGATCTGCTGGCATCGATGGCAGTCGCGGCAAATCACATGGCCACAAGGCATCAACGCCACGGCCGGACGGTGCTCGTAGCAAACGGGGCAGTCGATGCGAGTGCCTCCGCGCATCGGCTCCTCCACGCGGCAGGCTGCCACTTCTTCTGCCTCCCAATTGGCTGTCAAACGAAGGGCCGGAGAACAAGGTCCCACGTTCTGCGCGTAGTATCGTCCTGGACCTTCGACTCCGTTTGGAAGACCCAGCTCGGCCATGCGCTCCTTGAACTTCTGCACCACCAGATCTCCACCTCCTGACCTTTGGTTAAGGTTGTGGATGCCAACAACCAAGTCGCAAGACCTGGACCCCTGCTCGGCGCGTTGATGGCAGTTCCTCATGAACTCCTCCATCTTGGCCGCCACGAGTTGGTTCGCCAGCCTTTCCGTTTCAGTGTTGTAGGCCAAGTCATACTCTGCGGACTTCCGGGCCAACTGCTGAAGGAACATGGCAAAAATGAGTCTGGATTGATTCAATGACGCTGGGTGGCGACCACAGACTTGGTCAAAACAAGCTGCAGGCACTGCAGGAGTGACTTTTAGCTAGGAGGAGCCACACTTATCGTCTATCAGCGACTGATCCTTGACCAAATCTGAAAGCTGAGTGACACGATGCGACGTCATTCAAATGATTTTTTCAATGATACTTTGCTGAAATATCTGAATGTCCTGGTTTCTTGCCGAGTCTTCACTCGTTGGAAGCACAGTTCTCGCCGGTCGGAGCCTCTCCTGGTTGCCACGCATGGAGTCTGGTGGACCAGCAAGGCCGGAACCTGCAACCGATCGGGCAAGGCGGGCAATCAGGGGTAAAAGTCTAAGAATCCAGTTTTCTGGGTTGAGGGGAGACCTGTTGGCCGGATGTTTGTGTGATTAGGTTTTCAGATGGGTCGAGAAACCGGAGTCAACTCTGGTTTTATGTCCAAAAACGCAGAATATAGAGGGGAGAGGACTGCTGAGAATTTGAACTCTCGTTTCCATGGTGCTGGAACTGCGGTTCTCGCCCACAGCCACGTCAATAGGATCCAACATGTGAACGACATTGGTGAAAATGGTCCAAAATATCCTGGAATCGTCTGAAAATCTGAAAGCCTTTCTATGGCTTCCTTGACAGCTCCGCATACATTGGCTCATGGTGGCAAACCTTCTTGAGAGCTTTCACGTAATTCCAGCAGCTGCTTCCTGTCATGTTAAGTTCATTAATTAGCGCCTCTTCGTGTTTATTGAGGCTCCAGTCGAGCTGCAGGTCAACACCACCCAAGGAAACCATTGACTTGCTGCAAGATCCCCCACCCCACCCGGCCTGAATGGCCCCAACCTCACCATGCCCTGGAAGTGCCAATGTAGCCCCGCTGCCTGGTGGCTCCGCTTGGCTGAATGCTTTGAAGGTATTCGAGGTTCAGGCACTATTCAAAAAGGAGACATGATGAGACCAAACTAAAGAGCGTCTGCAACCTCCAGAAGTGCCAGACTCATCTGTGACTAAAACAACATCGAACAAAGTGTCAAAAAAGCTTATATACAAATCTTCCTGATTCTTCCTGCGTGTTTGGCCTCAGACGATCTGCTCTTCAGCAAATTATCTGAATCCCATTTGCCGAATCCACAAATCAAGACGACTGCATTGAGAATGTGCCATCTAGCAAAGGCCGTGCCTCCGCTGTGACGACGTTGTTGTTGGCTGGAGACGCTGTCCTTCCTGGGTGGCAGTTCCTGGTGGGAAGACTCCAAAGGTCCAACCAAGTGGCACGGCAAGTTGTAATGTCCTCAACATGTTTCAACGATTCTTTTTCAACGAGCTAACTGTGCTATGGGCGCATTTCACACTTTCACTTGGCATCTCTGCTATGGTTTCTTCTTGCAGGTTCATGCAATGCCACTTGTGGGCACCGATAAATTGATGTTGGGAATGCCTGTGATAGCCAGAGAAGGACTCCAGCATCAGGCCTTTGTGAAGTGATCTGTCAGAGTTCCGAGGGAGACGTTCTGACTTGCAACCAGGATCCCCTGAACCAAAGCAACAGCAACCTAACAACAGAATCGGAAACACCTGCGTTTGCCATTTGGATTGCTTCTCTGATGTGGAGAACCTGGCAAACGGATGTAGAGATGTGATTGGGACACTCATGCAGCTCCTTGCAAGTCTCCTGCAAGAAGCAACCAAGTCAAACCCATTCAGCTTTTAAGATCCTCCACCGGCCATGAAGGGTCTCACATCGGATCATCGGCCTCTGCTCTTTGAGCAATTTGTCAGATGCCAAGGATGGCCATTCCCCCAATGCCATCCCAACATGCTGACAAGAACAGCTCCAATTGCAAAGGCATCTTCTTCCCTTCTCGTCTTGAACCTCAGTTCATGAACAGCCCCTGGGTAGCCGAGTGCGTTGGCGTCCGACACATCGGGCACTGACGGATCTGCTGGCATCGATGGCAGTCGCAGCAAATCACATGGCCACAAGGCACCAACGCCACGGCCGGACGGTGCTCGTGGCAAATGGGGCAGTCGATGCGAGTGCCTCCGGGCATCGGCTCCTCCACGCGTCAGGCTGCCACTTCTTCTGCCTCCCAATTGGCTGTCAGGTCAAGCAACCTCCATAACCCTGCATGCTCAGAATACGGATTTCCCACTCCATTGGGAAATCCCAGTTCAGCCATCTGCTCCTTGAACTTCTGCAGCACCAGCTCTTGGCCTCCATCCCGGTTGCAAAAAAAATGGACGTTAATGGTCCACTTGCAATGATTTCGCCGGTTCTCGGCCGCTTGATTGCACTGCTGCATGAACTCCTGCATCTTCGCTTGCACAAAGTTGTTGACCAGCTGCTCCGTCTTCACGTTGTAGGCCGCCTTGGACTCACCGGTCTTGTGGGCCAATTGCTGACGGAACATGGCCGAAAGGAGGCTGGCTTCAACGATGTCCAGTAGGAATCACTGACTTGGTCAAAGGGAGCTGCAGCGCGGGGCTTTCAGTGGACTGGTGACTTCAGGCAAGCCATGCACCTGGGAATCCAAAATTAAACCAAGAACTAGCAGTCATCTGCCAATCGAATTCCATGGAAGCTTGGCAGCCATCCTGCAAGCTTGATTTGAGAGGGGTCAAGTTGGAGATTGTTACTCACTGAATTACTGAATTGCAGGCTGTCCGAAGCAGTTCACTCCGAATCTCCGCACCCCGGCCTTCAAGCGGGTGTGTATTGCTTTGAACTTCGGGCGATGGCTCCTGGCTGATCGGAAGAAATTCCCTTGCGGCGCCAGCCCTCTGAAGCAGGTTGAGGAGGGAAGGCTCTAGGGTCACAGATTCTAACATGTCCCAGAAAACAGGAGAAAATCAATTGAAGAGCGCTTCTAAAACATGCTCGACAGATCGTGAGCAAAACAGCCAGGACCGCTGAAGATGACGGACACACGCCCGTTCAGTCCACTCACACACATAAAACCAATCCCAAACAAAAAGAAAACATGTTCTACTGTTCTACTACTCCTTTGTCTGGTCCTGCTCTTTAGGACTTTGATGAAAAGGGTTGAAGCATCTCTCCATTTCAATGACAAGTGCCCCCCTCCAGCTGTTAAAGCGGCAGGATCCTAGCTCCACAATTTGAAGAAACACCTTGTTCCCACAGCTGTCATGCAAACACGTGGCTTCTCTCACCCTCCAAACCCCTTCACGTCAAATGATGCACCACGAATGGAAAACAAAATCGCAAGGAAGTCATGATAGCTCGGACTTGGAGCCTGGAGCTGTCTCTATATAAATACCACAAACCAATTTCAAACATGAGAGCTCCTGGGCTCCTGGGTAGGATAGCTCGGCGCCAACATCCACGGGTCCACAAGTCACTTCATCTCCACCCCCGGCCTCAAATATGTTTTTCACCAAGGGCCACTCGGCGTTGAC